CATCAACTCTTGTGTCTAATGTTCACGGGCAACACTGGTCATAACTCATAGATTTTACCTGTTCTCCCCTGTTATTGCTACTAGATTCTTCTGTATTCTTTCATTTGAACTATTCCAAAAGTCAGTGGAGGGGAAACAGATAAATGTGTCAGGCTATTCACAGTAAAATAAATAAGTCCAGCAGTGGGTCCAACAGGATGAAAGCTTTTAATACAGATTACTACATGTGCTGCCTTGTGGGTGATATTTAATTCTCTGTCCATTTGTGATTTAAATGATGCAGAATTCAGACATTAAAGTCCCTCCACTCTGTTGTCGCCTTGATAGACTTGTTTAGAGTAATGCTGTTTTATGTGAAGTGAGGGGTTGGGATCGGGTGGTGGAACTGCCATGCTCTTTGGAGTGTGACTTGTTTCCTAGGTAACGGTAATGTGGTGGAAGGATTGTGGGAGGGGATATAGTTTAATGGAGGACTAAAGTTCAAACATGTTTGTGGTCAGTATGGCAGCCACAGAAAATACCAAGGTACTTCAAATATCAGATTCTGATATTGTGTCCAGTTTATTTCCATGATAAGATAATTAAAATCATTTAATAAGTGTCAGGAAGGGAAAAGAACATTTATTAACAATACCTTTTTTAGCAAAAAAATATTAATAAAATAATAGAAATTCTACTAACGTAAATTCACAATGATCAATGTTGTTTGTATGAATTTGCTTTCTGGCAATAAATTGGCAACAGACTAGCATAAACTGCTGACACACTAACAGGCTAATATGATTTCCAAAGGTTGGGAAATGGATTAGGAAACAATGTATATGTGCCTATGACTAATTCCTACCATTTTGCATACTGGAATACTCTATTATAATGAAGTTCATTTTGTAATATTGGGTAATTTGTATGAAAAAACTACGTCCAAAATTGTGAACTGCTTCTATTCACCGACTGTTGATGTCACAGTATATGTCTTTTCTGGTTAATTGTCAAAAGAAGCAGAAATAAAGCTTCCATTTTTCAGTAATTCTGTTAACACTTTGAAATTTATATATATGTGATGTGGTCACATATGCTTGAATTTGGAGAGATTTTGAAAATTTACATATGTCTAAAAATTAACTACTGCTTTAGTGTTAGTTACTGGCATCTATCAACATTTTATCTTGGGCTGTGGAGAGATGGAATCTTTAGCGGGCCAGGCTGATAGTCAATAGCATTTCGAGAAGTGCATGTAGTATGGCGTTCTACTTGAGACTTACACAAGACACCTACTTACACCAACCAAGATTGGCGGCTATTCTCCGACTTGTTAATGGAAAAGATGCATGATTGATAAATTAAACGCTGTGTTTGGAAATCGTCTTTTTGTGTCTGTTCTTTAGAAAACTGCAGGAGAAGGTCATTATGTTTGCGATGCGCTAGTATTATGATGTGTGTTTGGGATGCGCTGGTGTTATGATGTGGTCAGAAAGTGATGGCTTGGTGGAGTCAGAGGAGGGTCACCCGCGTCAAAAATGATGGGTGGAGATGGGCTATCCTAATCTGCCTTTTAAGGCCTTCATTGTGGACATTCATGTTGGCAATATGAATAGTAAATATCTCCCACTGTGCAACTGTCATTCACAGACAGCCTCTTTGTTTTTTCTGTGTCTCTCCCTCATAAGCTTGGTATTTAATGAACTCACTGGTTCTGTATAAAACTTTCCCGTATATGGTTATTGTTTTGTTGATATGCAGACATGCGAGCAGCTTTACATGGCAATAAATAACAAAGTAAGATTATAAGGGAAAAGTTGATTTACAATATTGTGGAGAAACGTTTATCATTAATTTGTAGCTTTATCGGGTAATTTGTAGTCTGTGCATGGTGGTTCATGTTATGAAAAAGTTGAAGACAAAAAGAATGCAGACTACTTTTCAGCCAATGCCAAGTCTACAAGCCTGGGGAAAGCGTTGATCCTCTGAGGGTTGCCAGATAAACGGCTGAAATAGGTCTTTGATTGACAATCATCATATGACTGGAATAGAGCCCAGTATATCTGATGTACAATTTACATGTTAGGGTGACACCATATCCGTATTCCGCCCATCGCTTGGCTTCTGTCGACTCTGTAATTTCGCTTTAGGAGCCGAGAAAGATTTATAAAGAGGATCGTCAGTATATCTGGTGTACAATTCATGTGATACGTTGACAGCACGGGAATATTTTCCCCTAAACAGGTTAAAGTTGAGTTGAGAATCAATTTATTTTGGCTTCCATGCAGACATAGAGATGCCCTTGCTGAAATCCTGTATGCTGAAAGCTGTTGTGAGAGCTATTTTGACCAATTAAATTGATATGTAAAATTACACCTTGTGCACTGTCCTCGAGAGGAAAATAACAGCCTTTTAAACAATTAAATTGATATGTAAAATTATACATAGTGCAGCGTCTTAAAGGAACAAAATAAGTGTTTTTATGTCCAGCTTTAAGAGATATGTAAAGTGACACCTTTTCGTGCCAAAGTTAGAAAAACTGAAAATAGGGGGCTTTTTGAACAATTTAAGATGATACATTTAGTTTGTGAGACCTTGAGTGGTGGGTAAAGCCCTATGGTAGTAGAGTAATATGGAAACTCGATCCTGACAGCGTCTATTAAGCCGAGATTCTAGTTTCTAACAAATTCTATAGCACCTGATGCGTTAATCCTGTCTCCCTGTTACACACACCACCTAATGGCTTTTCCTGTCAAAATGCCTTTTAGAGTTACCCGCCCTTCAGTTCAAGGGAATATAGATTGTGGTTGTAATTCAGTTGTGATGTTGCTCTTTATAATGGCTGTTTGTCGGCGTCATTCTGCTCAGTGTTCTCTCCAACTGATGGCGATAGTCATTTATGACAAATATTTTCATAGAAACAAATTCAAACAAATTTTCTGGACGTAAATTGTACAAGTAAATTAATTAGGGTTATTCCCCCTTTAAGTAAGATAGCATGTGCATCAATTCTTGATACAACAGCACAAACTTTCTTTAATGTTAATCAATATCGGGAATTGGGTAAAAAACATACAAGTAATCATACAATTTGAATTGTGTTTGCATGTTGTTTAAAATAATTTATCTCATAATTTTGCAAGTTGGGAAGCATTTTAATTGATTCAGCTATAACCATTAAGATGGAGGGGAATATAAAGGATCCTGATTGACAATGTTTACGATTGCCTGTTAGATGTAAACCATTAAATTATGCTCATTTAGATAGAAGTGTTAGAAGGATTTGGTTGTAAGTGTACAAATATTTTAAATACAATTTAGGTAACTGAATGATAATGCATTATTTCCAGTTTCAAAATCTTTAATACAAAAGTTCTGTGTTTGAGGTGCTTCAGCTATGGCCGTTATTGTATAGTGATGGATTGGACACTATACAATATAGCAAGGGACGTACTCAACTACTTGCAATATTTCAGCATTTGATTATTTCTTATATGCAACTGTTATTGAATGACTATCAACATTTGTTGGTTGTTTTCTCCAATGATTTACGTCGTAGGAGGACATATGGACTATAATAATGAAAATAATGATAATAATAATAATAATAATAATGATAATTTGAGGTTCTTATATACCGCTTTATCACAAACTAGTTTGTAGGTCGTCTCAAAGCGGTTCACAAATTATTGCAACCAGACAATATCTTTCTCAACTCCCTGGGGTGCATACAGCCGATGCTGCCATTTCAGTGGTTACAGCTAGCATTCTACAATTCTAGCACTACCCGACCACGTTCTCATTTATAGCTGAGTAGACTGGAACAAGCGGAGTAATCTTGCTCAAAGATACAACATAGTGACGTGAGTCGAACTCGCCACCCTTCGGTCACGAGCCAGGCGTCCTACCACTAGACTACCATGCCTCCGCACTATATCTACATTCTGTCCCAGCTGTGGGGTACCTGAACTATTCAGTTCATAAAAGTATATAAAAGACATAGCCCATCAATGCTCTGGCTGGAGAAAATGTGGTCTATGTTTTCTGTCCTAGCTGTGTGTTAGTACAGACACAGAGCTAGTTTGATTCTCCATCTGGTTGGTGTTCCATTCACATGGTAAAGGCTTGGCTTCCTTCCCTTTCTTGACTCGAAGATGATAAGACAAACAATTATCGTCATACTGAAGTTTTACACCATTAAGAATTGCCAACAAAAATACCTAACAACATTTTCAAATGTAAAAATGCATACAAGAATATAAAATTGAATTCCTCAATCAAATTACTGTTGATTCTGTATTATCAGATTGGAGTCTAACTACTGAAGCATTTGTACATATTCCAGACAGAAAATCTATACACTTTGTTTTACAGCAGTGTGTTAAACTAATCAAACTTAAACAATCAAACTCCGACGAAGGAGAACTCTAGTGACAGAATCATGTTAGCTAGATAGTTTTTTAGCCCAATGATAACACATCTCCCTAAAATCAATACATATGCCTTTCTTATGTAATCCTTGAAATTCAATTTTGCTTTTGAAAATTGGAGCACTCTTGCTTTGTACGGTAGCAATGGGAATTGTTAGATATGTCCACTCGATCCGTCATGTTGATGTATCTGTCGGGTAGACTAGGCTAGTCTCTTTGTAGATGTGAATACATTCCGACATATCCATGAATTTCGGTCCCTATAATGTAGTATCAAATAACTTTCATGCCTAAAATTGAAACAACAAAAAAAGGATTATTTCTTAGTTTGGTAACATGCAGACCAATAGTTCTGTTTCAGACATACTTTGTAATTTGACTCATTTCACTTTGGTTGGAGATTTCTACAATATGAAATTTCGTATAAATGTTGTTTTACAATTTAAAGTTTTATATATTTTTTTGTGCTACAATTCAAATTTGTGTACACCTTGTGTTACAATATACAGTTTTGTACATCTTTTTTGTGTTACGATACAAACTTTTGAATATCTTTTGTTATAAAGTGTTGTACATCTTGCTGTGTTTCAGAGTGTCGGGCTGGGTTTTACAAGTGGGAGCTAGGGAACCATCCCTGTAGTAGCTGCCCGGCCCACAGCTTCTCCACGGCACCCAAGTCTGTAGAGTGTACGTGTGAAGAGGACTTCTACCGCAGCGACACTGACCCCAAGAGCATGTCATGCACACGTATGTACTTAGAAACATGTTATAATAAACTGTTATAGTTAGCCCAGCTGTACAGTTAGGTACAGGTATATCCTATAAATGTACCTGTTGAAAAAAGATCTGTTTGTTGACAATTTTTAATTTTTGATTTATTGAGACTAAAAAACTTATAATTATCTTTTTAAGTTCTTTAAAGTAAAGCTGAATGAATTAGTTCTGTATGAATAAGAGTTTAAACTAGTGTATAATGTTGATGAAGGACTACCTCGTTTCTGTTTAGATTTTAGTTTATGTCTGTTTCATATCAATTTGGTCTCTCACCCTTTCCTATTCCTGGTAAATTCAAAGTAAAATATCTGTGAAAATGAAATAAATATTAAATTATGTCAACATTTGTGATGTACTTTTAAAAAATGTAGGAACCATGGAATGAATGTATAAAGAATTTATAGAAAGATTTAATTTCACGGATCAGTAAACATATTGCCTGGTCACGTCAAATTGAGAATTCTGTACGATTATCAATTATGCGATTGAAGGTGATCATTATGCAATGTTAATCACTGATTCGGAATGCTTTATAAACGCCACCAACGTGCCAATTTGGACTGGGGTTATGTAAAATCTTTGTCGGGGTGGAAGATTGGGAAAACGAAAAAAAGAGACTTGACCTACAATTATTACGTCGTAGCTGGGTATAATTACGACCAATGTCAACAGACTGTATAATGGTAGGCCTTCAGCTCTGGTCAGCCCAAGTACAGGCTGTCCATAAAATACCGGGTGGCTAGCAAAACATACATGTGTATTACAAAGAAATTAAAAGTAAATACGGTGTACATGGCATCTCAATCAAGGTCAGATCTATTTGTGGATCAGGTTCGTAGGGCCATCGTTGTTCCTATTAGTGACTGCACAGCATTGATATACCCACTGACGGAACACAGACTGCGATTGTCGTCACTGACGGGGTTGTATACAGTTTGATTTGTATACCTCGGGATGTCTACTACAATTACACAACTTGTAGTCAATGCAACGTTAACCTATCTATGTAGTGTTTGATTACAGCTAGCCCTCTGACAGTGTGTTGCCATTAAACTATCTGTGACTCTGCTAATTCACTACATTCCATTGTTACATCAGCTGATATTACCAATTCATTGCCAGATTATTTCCCTGAAATTTGGAAGCAATATTTTTTTCATTGTGTTGATAGTGTAGTAGTTGGTTAGCTTGAACAGTTAGATCCTGTCTTCAAATAGAAGGAAGTTTTGTACAGTGAACAAATTGGTTAAACTATAATCCCTGTCAAAATGAAATACTTTTCATATCCCTAAATCTTTACTTAATCTTTTAATGATGATTCATATATAATATATACAGGTCTTCCTATTTTAACTTTAGAAACAGAGATAATCTGTCTCGGAGGAAATTCCATGATAACTTCCAATTATGCTGATATCCATTTTTACAGCTAGGTAGACTTTAGCAGGTAAGAGTAAAGTGTTTCGTTTAAGGATACAACAAATACATTGACAGTTGTTGCGGCATTGTCATCTTAACGGGAAGTCAGTTGCGGCATTGTCATCTTAACAGGAAGTCAGTTTAAAAGGAAAAGTCAATTTCCCGTGGGTGATATAGCATAATGTATAACAGAGTAAAATGTAGATGTAGTGACGAGCTGTCAGGAGATAGTAAGTAAGGGACAATAAGAAGATAATTGTATTTGAGATTTTCTGATGAGGGCATGCCTGTAGATGAAACTTGATCTGCTTTATTCTCGTATCACATTCCCATTAAATTAGTTCGGGGACATTTTGATGAATGAGGTAATTTTGAAAAAAGGGGGTGGCCATTTATCCGATCCATCAAAATTTGGACATTTTACAAGACACAAATGTTTGACACCAGGTGTCTGTGTGTTAAATGTCATCGGAGATATGTGGTATCTATACGGGTATAAAGCCCTGTAATTACTGGCTGTACAGAATAAAAACTCTAAATATCTACACGCATCTTTGGCAAATATCATCTAAAGATATTTCATTTCATTAATATTGTGTATGGTTTTATGATTGAGTATGATGGAGGTGAATGCTTTTTTCTTCCTCTACAATCAGACTTAGCAAAAAGTACACCTGAACTGTGAAATGGCATATATTACCAGTGTAGAAACATTAGAAAATTCACATACAATTTTCATCCAATGTTTAGTTCTGAAACTACAATAAATATTAACTTTAAAACCAGTTTTATCAGCTTAGACTAATCCCTCTTGTTGGTCCAGATGGTAGCCAACTTTATTAACCAGAGAAATCCTTGATGGTCGAGCAGCTGGCCCAATACCTATTTACGAGTCCAATCGGGGATCAAACCCTGACCATGGGGATGAAAGGTGAATGTGCTATCCACTGCATCACCTGATCAACCATGGTCTTACCAACAGGAGTCCAGCCACAGGCTCTCCATTCTTAAGGCTTTTTTGTCAGATTGCTTGCCACCCTGATGACAGTTCCATGGTGACATCCTTCCATGCTGATGGCTTTCCATGCCGAGGGTCTTCCATGCTTGTATGGGTTTCATTCCTGGTACCCGTGAAACATAGGTGACTTTGCCATGAAATTATTATGTCATGTGTACCATAGAGCTCAATGGAGTTCTTTACCATATAGGTTTCAAAGCTGAAGGTCCTGTCTGTGATTCTATGTCTAAACACATGTAGAGATGGTAGTAAAAGAAAAGTCACATCTGTTTAAGATTCTTATTTCAGAATTGTAACCATGTTACTTTGTTTGTTACAGAGCCTCCTTCTGCCCCACAAAACGTTGCCGTGCGACAGTATACCCACAATTCCATCACTGTGACGTGGCGCTTTCCAATGTACGATGGTGGACGGAATGACGTCATGTTCCGCATTGACTGTCAGCAGTGTGACAGCAGTGTGACCTTCACACCTGACAAACCGACCTTCAACTCCACAAGGTAGTTTTTCATCTGTTCACTTTATGAAATTATCAAGCTCACATTTCTTTCAAGGTCATCTGTCTATCAAGATACTTTTTTGTCAAGGTCACAATTCTATTGAGGTCATATGTTTATCAAGGTAACATTTCTATCAAGGTCATCTGTCTGATAAAGTCACACTTCTGTCAAGGTCATCTTTTTATCAAGGTCACTAACAATATCTGCTAAACAGTAAACATGTAGAGCTTTGACAGTATGGCCTTGCTATCACATTGTCACCATGGTACAGATATGTTCTGGTTTAATGGATAGGTCAGACAGGAACCAAACATTACAATGACCGTGCTATGTATTGTCACCATGGTACAGATACGTTCTGGTTTAATGGATAGGTCAGACACGAACCAACCATTACAATGACCTTGCTATATATTGTCACCATGGTACAGATATATGCTCTGGCTTAATGGATAGGTCAGTCATGAATCAAACATTACAATGACCTTGCTATAAATTGTCACCATGGTACAGATATGTTCTGGTTTCATGGATAGGTCAGACATGAACAAAACATTACAATGACCTTGCTATCCATTGTCACCATGGTACAGATACGTTCTGGTTTAATGGATAGGTCAGACATCAACCAAACATTAGAATGACCTTGCTATACATTGTCACAATGGTACAGATATATGTTCTGGATTAATGGATAGGTCAGACATGAATCAAACGTTACAATGACCTTGCTATACATTGCCACCATGGTACAGCTATATGCTTTGGCTTAATGGATAGGGCAGACATGAATCAAACATTACAATGACCTTGCTATAAATTGTCACCATGGTACAGATATGTTATGGTTTAATGGATAGGTCAGACATGAAACAAACATTACAATGACCTTGCTATAAATTGTCACCATGGTACAGATATATGTTCTGGTTTAATGGCTAGGTCAGACATGAACCAAACATTAGAATGACCTTGCTATACATTGTTACCATAGTACAGATATATGTTCTGGTTTAATGGATAGGGCAGACATGAATCAAACGTTACAATGACCTTGCTATACATTGTCACAATGGTACAGATATATGTTCTGGATTAATGGATAGGTCAGACATGAACTAAACATTACAATGACCTTGCTAGACATTGTCACCATGGTACAGATATCTGTTCTGGTTTAATGGATAGGGCAGACATGAATCAAACGTTACACTGCCCTTGCTATACATTGTCCCCATGGTACAGATATGTTCTGGTTTCATGGATAGGTCAGACATGAACCAAACATTACAATGAGCTTGGCCTGTTGAACAACACACATAGATAATTGCCTGATAGCTCTAGTCAGGTAGAGACTCACAGTCTTTGGTAAAGTAGTTGGCATGATCATATGGAGACAATAAAAAGTCTCCAAATTTGTGATTCCTTGGCGGTAGTGTAGCTTGCCTGCAGATGCCCGATATGTGGAGCCAGTTATCCCAGATGTAGGATTACAATAGACAGGCCTTCATTGTTGATACAGAAAGTACACAAACACTGGCAAATTATGACTGTCATACTGCATATAACTAATTTCTCTGTGTGCTTTGTAATGGTATGAAGTAATCAGAGTAGGGGCCAATTGTGAAAAATGATTTAATGGTCATTATGTGACCTTATGAATTAAGGGTCCATGTGTGACGTTATGAATTAAGGGTCCTTGTGTGACGTTATGAATTAAGGGTCCTTGTGTGACGTTATGAATTAAGGGTCCTTGTGTGACGTTATGAATTTGGGGCCTTATATTATGTTAGGAATTATTTACCCTAGCCTTTGTTATGGATTTTTGTTGTACATAAATGTTAATTACTAATCATTCTGTTCATTGACAACAGTTAAAAAAAACCAATACTGTAGCTCTGTTAGTGAATATTTCTCCAAGTATTGAAAATGATATAACTTTATAAAATGATATAACTTTATAAAATGATAATGATATAACTTTATAAAACGATATAACTTTATAAAATGATATAACTTTATAAAATGATATAACTTTATACAATGATATAACTTTATACAATGATATGCTTGTTGGTTTGGTTTCAGTGTCATTCTGTCAGGGCTACAGTCTAGTACGACGTACAGCATTCGGATTTACTCAGAAAATGGTGTCACGCAGGCCAGTAAAAAACCTGCTCAGTACGGTGAGGACACTTCTACCACCCTCAGCAGTCGCCCTACCATCATCAACGTTCATGTTGTGTCTGTCGGGGACTCGTATGTGACCATTACGTGGGAGAAGGCGACAGAGTTTAAGGATACAATCCAAGACTACCAGGTGAAGTGGTATCGCCGATGGAAGGGCGAAGAAAAGACTAATTCCTCCAATGTACAGAACTTCACCTTTCGTAACCTGCTTCGAGACACAGAATATAGCTTCCAGGTAAGAAAGGTCACGACCTGTGTCAGGGTCAGTTAGTGTCTTTAGGGATCCCTGTCCCACTGCACTGTGGTTTTTGGTATAAATGCAGTAACCTCCCCTTAATTTCGTATTGTTTTGGATAGAACTAACACTTATGGGTCAGGCCAAATCCATGGACTAGTTAGCCGAGTCAGTTACAGGAATAGTATAAACATCTGAAGTCCAGGGTTCAAATCTCTGTCTAGCCCTGCTAAATTTTCGCAGTAGTACAGGGATCCATGCATCAGTTTGAAAATTATCTCAAATTTGAACACGTGTCAATTTAGCAGGTCCGTTTAGATAGGAATGGCCATTCAGACAGGATAACAAGTATAAAGCATAGGTGCTTCAGGCTAAATTCTTGTCACTTAGTTTTAAAACATCCAGGATATTTTCAAGTGTATCTATGTTGAACTTGCTGTCACTGATTGCAAAAGTGTTTCCGTAAAGTGTTTGAGTGAAGCAAGCAATGCTTTTATACATGGACATCTACAGTAAGTTTTGGACATGGGACAGGAGCGACTAATATATATCTGTGATCTGTGCGTATGGATGCCTGATTAGTTAGTTAAGGCAGCTGTGATTAGCTGATCCATTAGTAACGCAGCATTGTTGATGTCAATCACTTCACAGTCCTCTTAGAAACAATGAAGAGCCATTTAAAGTTCTGAAATGCTATTTTAACAGTTATGTATTTAAATGGGTTTCAAACTTTATTTAGTTGCTAACTACTCTCCTCGAAGCCTGATTGTTTCTGACAATATTTTATTGAAGCAGATTTAAAATCTGTTTAGACTTTAAATATTCCCTGCAGATATTGATAGATTAGAAATGCACCAGGCTTTCAATACTGGGGCGAGTTAATGCTGTCTAGAGTCGATGATGAATCAGCAGGTTTTTGTAACAATTTTCCTCAACAACATTTAAACACGTTTTGCACACTGCCTCTTAATCAAATATTTGTCAGAGACATCATGAACGCTGAAGAGGGAGATGGTGGGACTAATCACAGTTAACTTGTTTAGTACGAGATGAAACTCTCGGTGCAAAACTGTACAAATACATCTTCAAGCACTCACATCAAATGAACAGTTCTAATATTGAGATTAAATTTGGGGGTTGTCATTAAAACACTCATTGCTTGGCAAACGAGTCTGTTGTATGAAATATATGTTCAAATTATATACAGCGATGCATATCGGTGCGGAGTGTGCCAGTTTCATTGCGGAGAGATCTTGTCAGAGACTGTTTCTATTTCCCATGTATAACTGTTGTCGAGCTTGAGTGGCATCAACATCTCAGAATTAGAGCCTCTTTAAACCTAACTGTAATGTAAATTTAATAGAGTGATCTCCCTTGTTAGAAATTAAGTCATACTTAAGTGGGTATATATAATACACAGCGATTTCCTCTCGACACAATCCACAAATTTCTCTACATTACCTGATGTATCTGGTGTCTCTCTCTCTCTAGGTATAATGTCAGTAAGGCACTATTTTTCACAACATTGGGCCATATTGGATGAAATAAACTCCCTTGTTACAATATGGAGTGATCTCCCCTGTTTCAAATATAAGCCAAAGATGTAACGATTACTAGGTGAGGCCATTAGTCACCTGCCTAACAAAAAGTGGAGGATGGAATTTCAGAATTAGCTTCCTTATCTTTGTTGTATCTGGGAACTGTTGGGAGGTACTGTCTAGATAGGCTTTGTAATTCAAGAATAGTACTGTTTTACGGAGAAACATAATTCATATATGAAAAATGGCGATCCCATCACAGCAATCACCGACCTATCATATTTCATCTTTCTGACCTTCAATCTACAATTTATGTTTTGTAACGAGTTTCTTGAAAGTTTTACGATGGGATCTACGTGTGTAATTTCCACAGTTGTGGCGAAGGTGGCGGGAACACGACGTACTTGTGAGATATTTTGTCTGTGGTGGGAGTTCTGTAGGATTCTTGCTAGTTTGGAAGGATCTGTTTCAGAAGTTGTATAGGAATTAGCCCCATGTTGTGACAGGCGTCCTATTGATTCACCGCTCACGTTTGCCATTTTAGTGTTTTTGATTGGTCATAAACCATGGTCGGTGCAGTTGGCTTGGAAATATTTCACCGGTATAGAAGAGACATATATCATGCTATTGTATTGATCCTATCTCAGGCGTTGTCAGGCTTGTTAACTTCAGATTTCAAAACAATGCAAATTTGATTAAATTGTTAAATTTTTAACAAATTATTATGAACATTATTAATATTTGTACTGTTACCTCCTGTATAATGAGGTTGCCTAAGTTGTCTGGTTTAGCTATGCTAATTTAAGAATTGAAGAAATTGCTACTTGTGTGTATGACATGGTACTGGAAAGTAACCTAGCGATGCTAGGAAAGGCTGAGACTATGTAACATGTACAAGTTTGAACTGTACCGGGCACGTAATTACAGATCGCATAGCATCCATGTCTTTTTACCCTGGAGCCCAGTGGCCTGACAGTTTGTCGTCGGAGGCCTATAGTGGATAAATCTCCTGACATTTGTCAGGCTGGTGATGGGAATTAAGAAGATTTGAGGTCACAATGTTGAGGGGGAAAGGACAATATTGGTATCAGAATTATACAGTATTGTCACCATTTGGTATGCGATCTAATTTCAAATTTGTGTTCAAGTCATTTAGAAACAGTTTTTAGATTACACAAGACATAAGTCTGGTTATGATTGGACAAACTAGCTTGCTGGATTACCAATGACTGATGGGCAGCATGTTTCACTGGGAAATTGATCTTCATTTGGAGAGAAAGACATAATAATAGCTTCATTATTTATTTTTTAGAAAATATTTGATGGTTTTACATATGCTTTGAGGCAGGTCATTAAATCAAGTGATAGGGGGAATTTGATATCATAATGAAGCATATGGCTTTCTCCAGGATTGGATAATGATACGGTTCACAAGCCCGACTTTTTGTAGGTTCACAGCAAAACGACGGCTAGACATGAAAACGAGGACAAAAGAAGGAGGCGTATTATTGGTCATTATTTATAGTATCACTGACTCGTCACAGAGCTTGCACATTTTGTTTTTATGACTTTCTGCACATTATTTACAACGATGTGAAGATCGAACCAAAAGATTTTTTGTTTACAATCATTGAAGAATTTACAGAAGCACAAAGAGTTTGGGGTTTAAATTTACGGATGTTAGATAGATCGGATGGATTGTTAACCTATGGGGATAAATAAAGGCATTTTAACAAAATCACTCAGATTTTTACAAGGTGTTGAATTTCAAATGTTTTGCTATTGATAAGGGTTGGATTTTACTGTTGGATTCCTCAGAAAGGACGTAGAAAGAGCAGCACTGTGGTATCTGATCGAGCTTGGTTAATTATTTCTAGCAGGAAACCTAATACGTACAAAGGGTCAATTCATACACTAACCTTACAAGGAAATTGATTTTCCCACATGTTATCGCCAAAAAATGACACCTTTTTCGACAATCCTTCTTAGCTTTGTGGGTGTTCAGAATGTGTTATTGATAAAGACGCACATATATTCTTTGTAGAAACCTTGTTATGCACCTTTAGAAATCTTGTTATCAATTCAAGGTTGTTTCTAATTGATTTCTGCACCAACTAGATTTCATTGGTATTCCCCTTGAAATGTATCCATGTTTCTGAAAATGAAAAGAAAACTAAATGATGGTTTACTTCTGAAAAATTCTGTCATGGTGAAATAAATACCTTACTTAATGTGTTTCAGCCGAGTTGAATCTTAAATGTTATGAATGTCCATGAATTGGAAGAATGTTTTTATTTAATTGAACTTAAAAAACTGTAATATATCACTGCCACTCCATATTGTACAGTGATTCAAATCTTCACATAGGACAGGTGTATTTCAAACTCCGCTTCACTCAAGCTACATCAACTGTTCCTCTGGATAGGGATCCGGATGTAGCCTGTTTCAAATGCTTCAAACTTTGTTTTTTGTGCGGATTGGTTTAAAATTTGTTTAGTAGCCAAATAAAAATGGGGTTAGACAGCGCAGTTTGATAACCTAGGTCGTCTACTCGCATGTTTGTAGGTACGCATGCTGACAAGAAAAAGGTGTTCTCTCTCAACTCTAGCATGCACTGGAGTGTGTACATGTCGGTGTAGCCGGGGAGAACTCTACCAGTATTCCTATTTCTCCAACAAATTCCAAACTTATAAATAAAAAACAAACTTAAACAGGCATTATCTAAGATTACTGGTACAAGTAGAAGTCAATGTGGACCAAATTAAAAAGCAAAAAGTGGGATTGTTTATACTAAATATGCAAGATATTTGACTGATTTTAGATTACTGATTTATGTCTGTGGCCTCCTCAATCAACACAAAAAGCACCTTCAAGGATGATTTGTTTTGTTTAGAATTTAAAGACAATATTGCCTCTGTTATTGAAAAGTTTGGATATCAGGGAGGTGGATGTTTGGAAATCAAGATGGGGAAAAGAAAGAGCTTCTGCCAAGTATAAGATAAGCACATCAGTGATGAGGACTTCATCAATGGTATAGCTGAAGTATTGGGAGTTCCAGTTCTTTTCTTGGTAACCTGAACCATCAACTACAAACAAGATATCTACAACTGTCTAGATGTACCTTAGTGACCAGCCATCACCTAAAAACAGGATATATACAGCTCGTGTTTTACCTTAATGACTGAGCTGTCAGCACAGAGACTTTACTGTCTATTATAATGCTAAGTGGACAATCAGGAAAAAAACATGTATTGATTAGCAGACTTTGCCCGATCAAGGTCAAGTCAAGATTCCTCAGAAAAGGAATAGCCGGATGACTTTCAGCTACAGCTGATGTTACAGCTAGAGAAGATACAATACAACTCTGTTTCAAATTAAGGCTATATGGTACTTCTGTTTACCGAGAAAATGTTGGTCATCAGTGGTAAATTCATTTTTCGCCAAATGTAAATTTTGCGCACAAGGAATTACAATGTAAAGTATATGTCGTGTTGATATTTACTGCTACGATATATTCGCCCCATTAAGGAGGACAAACATTTTTTTTTCATAACATATATACAGTATTTCTTCTTTTATAAAATAGAAAACTGTATAAAATATATTTTATGAATGACAGTTTTGATTTGGTTGTTGCTTGTTCAGTGTATGTGTTAAGTTCATAGTCTGTACAACAGTGTTACAGACTTTTAACTGAAGATGTATAAGGAACATTCATAGACAATTAGAACAAAAGAAAAAAAAAATCAAAAGCATATTAATCTGAGTAAGCTTTTGAAGAACCATGGCGTGACATCCAGGACAATCTAGGTCAGAGGTGAGCTATTGACGTATCTTGCCTGTTGATGACAAGTATAGCTAAAACTGAGAATTGCTGACCACTGAGCTTAGCGGTCAAGAATCCCATGCGAAGAGTTATCGGAGCGATATTGACTTTCGATCAGAGTCATCAAATCAAAGTGGTTGTATCCGTTTTTACTCTGCTTTGGTTTGCTAATGAACACTGTTCCATGTTTGTAATCGACAAGCACGTTTTCCAGATAGAATAATTTAGTGGAATAATAGGCATTAAATACTCATTATGACACTAAAGTGTAGAAAGATAAATGAGTTTTCTTGTTTCATCACCAGTGGTCTGCCCCTGGTAGATTTCCCGACTAATGGGACGGAGGGCAAACTGCGTTGAGATATACCTTGGTAGGAGCTCGCCGACTCTTACACTACCATCAACAACAGACATTAAAGCCACGCCAAAAATAATGATTCTATAAAATCCTGTGATCGTGTTTATTTCGGTAGAAATAACTGTAGCAATGATGCAAAATATAAATTGATTTAACAAATTAATTTACAGATGTGGTTTTTTTGGTGTTATTTGCATTATATTTAGTGTTTCTAATTCAGAATATCTAACAAATTGATGTTCCTTTTGACGAGGCGCGTTGATGAAAAAAGATAAATGAATTCTGCGCATTTGTTTGCAACAAGTATTGTCTGTGCTACTGTCTGTGATTTCTGCCATATTTAATGTTTATACGATTACTAGACTTGTGTCGGATAGAATAGCTTGACATCTATTACCTGGACATTGATCAAGACGATAGATTAGAACAGCTCCTGGGTCATTTGCGACCAGCCCTAACTGTATTTCACATTATATTCAGGCTTTATAAATCAAAGCCAGATTTCAATAATGTATAAAAAAAAAATTGAGTTAATAGAAAAAAAATCATTATCCCGTGGTAGGCGTTGTGCAGTTTCTACGGTGATGTGAATGTAACCAATCAACAGTAAAAATGTCCATCCTGCCGTGAAACGATTCCGACATCAAAGGTAACCCATCGATGTAGCCTGGTGATTTATAGAGCTGTCCCGATGCTGGTACTAATCATAAGATAGCTGGCTGGCTGTAGTAATGTTACGTAGGGGAGGCTCTGTAAAGCACCTCTGGGATAACGCATATGTCAAAGGTGTACTGCCATGGAGTATTGGTCGACAGATTAACATGGAAAGGAAAACCAATCTTACTCATAATGGTATAACATCTCCTTGTACAAATAAAAGTCTAGTTTTACTTAAATTTTGTATAACATTTATTATTATCTTAATCAAAATCAATAGAATAAGGAGGTTAGAGTCGAGGATTACGCATCTGTGCCACACATTATATCTAGGAGACCTCACTCACTTCACTCAGTGTAAACAATTGTCTTATATAACATAAGACAAGCATACAAAAGTATCTATACAAACTACCAAACTACTTTACTGTCTCACTGGTTTATAAAAAGGCTTGTTACTTTCCGGTGAGCGGTAGAAATAATTGGAAATGTAGTTAGGGGTTTATTGACTGACATAACCAATGAATCGCCCTGAAGCAATCGGACAAATTGATGGATACATTGATTTGATCAGAGAAGTACACTTCAACTTTTACTGATTTCCGTTACCATGGAAGCCAATAAAATGAATACCGACTTTAACTGTGAACAGTAAAACATTACCAGCACACTCTTTATTACAAATTATTCTTTATAACATCTATTTCTAATGTCTCATGAATATAAAACTTACATTATATCTAACGAATTAATTTCTGATGCCCCTTAGGTGTGTTACATAAATAAAGTGTAAAGTAATGGACTACATGCACAAGGACAGTCATAAAACAATGTTAAATGGGAACTGAGGAGACACAAAAAGGAAAGAAAACCTTTGCCTTCCCATTAATATAAACTTGTTTTTAATATCGCCTACTTGTAAACATTCAAACTTTGTTATGGGAGAGTAACTAAAATTTAAAACAATCTAAAAGTACTTATCCTGATCCTTATTTGGCAAAATGATAGTGTAAATTAAATGCTATAGCTTAAATATTGAACAGCATTTTTTTCCCCCAGTGTTCATAATGGGGGGAAAAAATTAAAAAATGCTGTTCAATCATTGTATGTCTGTGTTGCCCATGCAAACAAGATTACTTGAACAGATTAACGTCACCAAAATGTTTGCTTCTAATGGTTGCCTGACATTGTTCAAGGCGGAAAGAGAAGCTTCAATGTGATGCTGATCAAATTATGTTAATAGCCTTACAAATGCAAATTTTTGTGGTAATGCTTATAGAGGAACTTGCAATTTAAATATGAATATATTGCTTTGTTACATTAATTTTTAATTTGAGCAAAAAGGAAGTTGCATAAAATTCTGCTAATTTCAAAAGTCTAAAATAAAGGTGAACAATTTCAAATCTCCCTATAAAACAGGAACACTAGACAAGTATGATTTATGAATCCTAACTCTACTGTAGTTGGGATGTGATTAAGTTAAAAGTAGTTGTCAGGGGTATAGTAAAAAAAAGTATTCGATGAATCTGGTAATTGAAAAGCTTTTTTTCGTGCATCATCTTCCCAAAGTATGTGATCCACTTTTCAAAAAATGTTTTTACTGAATTTGAAGTAGACTGATGACTCAATTTTACATATATAATGCTTTCCATTACAAAAACATAGTGAAATGTGATTGTTTTGAAGCTGGTTTTAATGATTTGGTGACACGAATATGTCATCGCTGTACCACAGGGAGAGGGCATTGTAATATAAACAGACAAGACGAGAAAAAACGTCAGTAGGTAATGGTAATCTGACTTGATGGCTGATACGCAACAGTTCAATTGGACAGGATATAAGCATGACAGAATACCCTGTAGCCAAGTCGGAGTCACCGAAAACAAAACGAAAACAAACTCAGGGTCCTCAAACTGGTGTCATCTTAGATAAAATACCTAGATGAAATCTGGGTCCATTGGGACTCGGAATGATTACAAGGTCTCATTTCATGACCATCCACATCTCAAACTGAGTAATAGGTACAGAAGGGTGGGAAGTCAGTGTCTACAGCCGTCTCTGTCTATAACAGTGCCGAGAACATAAATAAGGATATCTTAATGAGGTCAGCCGTATAGTGCTTCTGTACGGAGGAGGCAATATTTCACAATTTGGTTCCAAAAATATATTTGCTGTCTCAAAAAAATATATGAAACTCAATCAATATTACAGCATCTGATATCTATAGCTTAAACACCAGCCCTATATCTTTCCATGTATTCGAGTTTTTGCGAACTTTGTGCAACTTTACAGGAATAAACCATATGAAGAGTTGTCTCCCTTGGGTGTGTTTATTATACCTATTCAATCTAACAAAAACCCAAAGCCTCTTGTCAATGTGAGAAAAATTAAGAAGATTTTAAAATCTTTCAAATTAAAAAAAAATAGTTGTAATAAAAAAAATAAGAAAAAGTCGGTAAATCATGTTGAAGGTATGAAATGCTAGAACCATGATAAAGATTAAAACTGAAATTATGATTTCGCTGTAAGGTTTAAATAATCCTGTTGATCTGTATTAGTGCTAAACAGATGTACTTATGACCATTTGTTTTATTTGTTCCAGGTTCGAGGTTACTCCACGGTGAAGGGATGGGGAGACTTCAGTCAGCCTTTACATGTGATGACTGGATATTCAGGTAAATATGGCCTTACAAATAAGCTTCACATTTCCCTATGTTTGTTGGTACATAAATATGTGATGAAAACACTACAGTAGTGTCAGTCTATTCGTCCGATACAGGACTCTAGTGTCCGTCTTCGTTGTTACATGATGAAAATGCTAGTGTAGCTTTCAACAGAATTCCAAACACCGCAAAAGTGTAGAACACAATTAACACTGGTAAAATTGGATGCGCCCAAATATGGAATAGAGATAATTAGCTTGGCAGAGTGGAGGAATGTTTGTCGATTATCTGACGCCCCCTTGGGTGGAGTAACGTTTGGGCTATCTGTACATGTATGTACAGAGTTCCTTTGGGAGGCAGCTAACCCGGGGTAACAGGGAAGGGAACCTCAGGCTGGTTATCCGTACCCTTAGTATTCTTTTATCTCATTTTATCATCACGTGTGGCTGTCTCCTCTCCGCCTTATTAAGGTCTTAACTGCTTTAGATATTCTTGTTTATGACATTCGTGTCCATCAATTATGTATGGATAGGTATTGCTGGCTTCTACCAATCAATAGCACCCCTTACAAAAATATTAAGAGCGTGGATTACAATCGGGAATGGATGCATGGATGTTTCAATTTTCATCCTTAGGGATGCCTTAAATATATGTTTCAATGTACATAAGAAAACAACATTATTTTTTTTTCTGTCACAAATTATCGTATAAATCACACTTTATTGACATTGATTTTGTGGTGCTACAAATTGCCTGTGAGCGTAGGAAGTTACACTACTGTATAGGGCATTGTCTATTACAGATGGTGTCACCTATTACAAAGGTAAAACGCGTATTAAATTTTACATTGAAAACCATTGCAGTGATTTCACCATAAATTGTAAAGAATTGGCTAGTCCAGTAGCTTATAAGGCCTTGAGAGTGATGTAAGGAATTTCCACTGATGGACCCTATCCCTGAACTGGCGGCCCCTTCCCTGTACTGGTGGTGCCCCCTTCCCCCTCCCTCCACTGGTGGCTCGGCTCCCCTAGTGGTGCTGATGACACCTGTGTTATCTCCCATTGCTATGCAGTCGATCCTGTGTACCTTTGTGAAATCCATTTTGTTTTTATGTTGACTTTTTTAATTCATTCTGCATAACTGTTGAATTTGTTCTGCTTGAAAATGTCCTTAAATTTTGACTTTGTATTATCAAGAAGAAAACAATTCCATTACAGTGAAATCTGTCTGTCAAAAACCATCAAAGGAAGAGAGAAAAGTGGTGTTGTTATATAGGTAGTCTTTGTAGATAGGTTGTGAAATAGAAAACAATAATCTAGATAATATTCAGAATTTAGACAATCTTTGGATAGTAGTTATTGATAAATGGTATTTAAGACAGGTTTCTTTTATGAGAAAAGCATCAGTAAATCTGATGGAAAACAAATGTTGATTTTCTTGCATGAATTTCTAGAATCTAGTGATGTATCAACCAATGTCAGAATTCAAGGGCATTCCCCCGACGCCACAAACACACGTTTTTTGGAGGTTTTTATTTTATTTGTGTTTCTGTTCGTTCTTTTTAGGTCACCTGAGCTTTAGCTCAAGTGACCTATTGCTATCCGTTTTCGTCCGTCGTCGTCCGTTAACATTTTACATTTCAAACTTAAAGTCAAGTTCTGCTGGGCCGATTAAACTGAAAGTTGGTAGGAATGATCGCCTCATGGTCCTGACAAAGTGTTGTTATTTTTCGGGTCGATCAGAAATCCAATATGGCCGCCACGGCCGCCATTTTGAAAACCTATTTCAAACTTAAAGTCAAGTTCTGCTGGACCGATTGAACTGAAAGTTGGTAGGAATGATCGCCTCATGGTCCTGACAAAGTGTTGTTATTTTT